CCCCGCCATTCCAACCCGGCCCTCGTCCCGCGGGAGGGGACCGCCAGGACGTGGAATAACGCCGAGAGCCGGGAAGGGCTGGGGGCACTCGTGTGAAATGTCACAGCGAACAGCTGTCTCGGTCTCTTCCGCAGAATTATCCTGAGCTGGAAGGGATCCACAGGGATTATCAAAGTCCAGTTCCTGGCCCTGCACAGGACTCCCCAAAATCTCACCCTGTACCTGAGAAGGTTGTCCGAATGCTCCTTGAGCTCAGGCAGCCTTGGAGCCGTGACCACTTGAACACGGAATGGGGGCACCAGGCCGCCCCAAGGGCATTCGATCCTTTTCCATAAACCTGAATTGCTTTTGTTCCTTTCTGATCAACTAAGTGCTGGTGAGCCAGGCAAAGAGTTAAATCCACACCTGCACAGAGCTTTAAGCAGCAGCTCCGCTACAAAAGGCAACCTGGAGCATCTCCATCCTCATTTGGATAAGAGAGAACACAGACACACAAAACACACCCACAAAGGGCTTCACATTAAACCTCTGGGGTTCCCAGAATGAGAATCCAGAGCTGTGGTCTCCTATGAAGAGTTAAACCCTGTCAACCCTTCCCAAAAGGAGCCTGAATGGATGACAGGAACGCCAGAGCCTGCACACGAAGGTAGCTTTCCTCCACAAACACACTGAACTCATGGCATAAAGGTGGCAGCAAAGGGACTTTGGAACTCGTGAGCAAGTACAAAGCATTTACTCCACCGGTTCCTCTCCAGGGAAACACTCTGTGCAGCAGTGCCAGCACACACGGACTGGAGGATGTTTCAATTTAGACCAGCAAGAGTGGATCTATTCCCACATCCGTGAAGGGAATGCACATTACAAGCCCTGAGAACAACAGCCTATTTCCCAATCCCCTCAAACAAAAAAGTAACATGGAAGTTGTGCATCCTTTTGTGCAACACCTGCATAAATAACACAGTCAGCAGTGCTGAGCCCCCAGGGTGAGCTGATGATTGGATTGAAGGGGAGTTCCAGGTTCCTTATCCTGATGTACAAAGACATGAGAAAATGAAACATGTTCCCCGGGCACTACATCACCTTTTCCCTTATGGTGTATTCTGACAACAAGCATTCACCCCAAATATCTGCTACTGCTGTGCCATACAGCTATTACTTAATTAAAAAAATATTCAGAAGAAAATATTAAATTCAATTTACTTGCTTGTTGATTTTTTGGTGTGTTGTTTTTTTTTTTAAATCATTACAAGAATGAGTGATCCAAACTGAGATTTTTTTAAATTTTTTTGTTTGTTTGTTTGTTTTTTGTTTTTTTGTTTCACATTTCCCAATGTGAAAAAAGACAAGAAGAGGCCAAGGAGCTTCCAGAGAAATATGAAGCATGGATTTTATCACAGGAGGTAAGGGAAGAAAGTATTTGTTTACGAGATCGATATCACAGGAGTAGATGAATTTCCCTAAGAGAAACACTAGGGAAGTGATGAGCAGCTTGGAAACACTTCAGCTGAGAGGGTTTTTTTCTCCTTACAACAATCATGTCTTAATTGTAGCTGCCTCTTGAGCTGAAAGAAATCCTTAATTTGTAGCTGCCGTTTAAACATTTCGTACATCCCCCAAATTCCTCCTGAGCAGACCAAAGCAGGCAGGATGGCAGCCAAGGATCTGGTCCATGAGGTGAAATTCTAAATGCTGGGTAAAGCTTCAGATTTCCATTAAGGCCACAGAAACAATTTACCTGTTGTTGAAGAACCTCAGATCTCAACAATGAACAAAAAAAACCTCTTAAAAGCCATCCCAGGGCACATTTTTCTTCTCCAAAAGGCTTTCAAGAGAGCAGTTCAAGCCTGTAAGAAACTGAAGTCCTTCACTTAAAATTCCTCAAGTTTAACAAAATATTACAGCTAAGTGGAATGGATTATATATTTAACTTTATACTGGAACATTTATGGTAGCAAAGGAAATTGTATTTATTTTAAGAGTTTGCTCTTCAGCGAGGTCTTTGCATTGTATGGCTTCACTTTTACACAGCCAAAGTAAGGTTTTTGTTTTATTTCTGACCTTGCAAATACAGATTTTCAATTTTCTTACGTTTTGCAGGAGTCAAGAGAGCTTCCAAGAGGTCATTTGTGTGTACTGCTCATTCTGAGGGCTGCAGAAAACCTGAGTAATTTGGGGTTTAGATAAATACTCACTCTACAAGCAGCTGGTCTTTAACAGAAATCTTGGTCCTTCCCAGGGCTGCACGTATTCCTGGGGCAAAGCACTTACTGCCTTGGGGAATCTCATGGACAACACTGGAACAGCCAGAGGTACATCACTGCAGTAAAGCAATGAAAAGATCAAAAATATATGTGGAAACCAGGAAAGATGTAAGAACAGGATAAAAAAAGAGGATAAACTGGGAGAAATCACACAGAAAACTCATGGGTCTGCAGTTCATTGTAACAGCTGGAACTAGAGGCACAGATTTCAGGTCAGTGTGGAATTCTCTGCTGCACCACGTCTTGTACCTCTCTTATTTTCTCACTGGAGCTGCTGGACCTTGAAAAGTAAAGCTTCTTAGGGGCAAAAGGACTGGTGACATTGTGTCTGAGACTCGCTCCCTCCTTTCCAAGTGATGAGGGTGGCCAGAAGCCTGTCCCAACACCTTCTGCTGAGCAGCTCCCTCCCCACCAGCTTCCCACCAGTGCTGACTCCAGAAGCTGGTGCTTCTCTCAGCTGTGCCTGGACTGTGGTGGTCTGTGGAGATCCAGGGTGGAGCTGCTGCACCTGCCCCAGGGTTTGTTTCCTCCCCCAGGAGAAGCCCTCTCGCTGCTGCTGTCCCACTGCGTGTGTATTGGCACTCGGAGAAGCAGATCCTTGAAGGTTCCCCAAAGAAAAGGAATTATTTGTCCATGACTTACACACTCCTGGCAGGCACCTTGCTGCCCGGGCAGGGCAGTGTGTGTGCTCTCTCTGCCTCTGCTGCTGGAGCACTCTTAGGTGGGATTAATTTACTCCTCAGTGAACCAGAAAGATGTCGGCAGAATAACTGATTTGATAGCTCAGTGATTCTGTCACGCTCTTGCTATGCAGGAGACCAAAGGTTCTCTCTGGCCTAAAAAAGCATCACTCCTGACAGGCTGGGAGGCATTGCTGGCCATTTAACTCCTGCCTCTGGAAGCACCACAGGGAGAAAGAAATGAAAAATTAATGCCTTATTTTTTAATCTTTCTGTGTGGGGCAAGGACAAAAATACAGGCTGAGCAAAACAGATGTTTTCATTTGTTTGCACTGGAAACAAATAAGGAATGCTCTGATAGGATTTGAGTCTCACCTCAGGATTTTAAAGAATAAATTCTTTTTCTCCTTTTTTTTTATTTGACATATTCTTAATCAAGAATACGCCTTTAAAATAATGCTTTTGACGAGAGTGACTTCTTTTTAATGCACTTGTCCTGGTTATTTTGAGCTGAGTAATTTTTAATGAGTTCTTAGCAAACAAAATATTCCATTATTTACACAGTTCTTCTTACAAGCAATTAAGAGTCAGTAACACTCCATGAATAAGACCTTCTGCTGCTGGCTTTCATGACATGGATTTGAAATATAAACACTACTAAAAAAAGTTATTTCAAGCTGTGAATTAAATGTTTCCTGGGGCTTGGAGCAACCTGGGCTATGGAAGGTGTCCCTGCCCATGGCAGGACTTTGGAATGAGATGAGCTTTGAGATCCCTTCCAACCCAAACCATTCTGTGATTCCGTGATTCTATGATTTCTGGAAGTTTGAGCACCAGTCTTGAACCCTGTGTGACTGACTGACTCAGAAAGGATAAATGGTTCTCATTCCAGAGTTCCCAGGGGTGTGTTACTTTTGGTTCAGTGCTGATAGACTCTGGGAAATGTGTGCATTTCTCTGGCCTGCTAGGACTGATTTTAATATTACCTTGCCACATAAACCCAAGAGAAAGATATGCATGTGGAGAAGCTGGCTTTGACAACCTCAATATCATCAAGGTGAGGAACTAAGTATGATCTTGGCCGACACACTCCATCGAGGCTGCCAGGGCTGCAAAGGAAGCAGGAAACACAGGAGCCCGCGTTCGCATGCCAGCGCTGAAACTGTGCCCAGTCTTCATTCTGAATGCTTTTGGTGAATGTTTTGTAAACATTTCCAGGCATTTCCTAAAAAAAAATGGGGGAGGTGACTCCAAGTAATTTCATCCACCACACATTTTAGATTTGGAGCATCCTTTCAATGAAGGAAGCTGAAGGAGGAAATGAATAACAACACCCCCTGCTTCCCATCCACAGGCATTCCCAGCACTGGAGATGAAAAGGCTTTCCAAGAGGAGGGAGCAGTAACAGAGTTAACCAGAACTGATAAAGAGGCAGACTGGAATTTTATGGGGGAAATAAGTCAGTGTTGAGATTTTAGAAGTAGGGGATCATGCTCGGGGGGTGAGAAAAGGGAAATATTTTCATGGTGAAAGTTTGGACAGACTGAACTGAAGACAAAAGATTTGGTCAGAGAAGGGGAACATCTTAAAGAAACCAGTGCATATGAGACACTGTTGACTGGGAAGAAGCTGAGTTTTGAGAAAAACACAATTGTGAGAGTTGGTTTCAAACCTAAGTAGAGGAGAAATGCAGCAGTTGGATTCGTGACCCAGACAGCAGGGAGTGCTCATGGCAAGAATAAAACAGACATAAGAATAAGGATATGCACAACTTCCAAACCATGTTCCTAATCACCACACCTACTTATCCTTTAAATATCTACAGGGATAGTGACTCCAACGCTTGCCAGGGATGGACAACCTTTTCCATGAAGAAATCTTTCCTAATATTCAACCTAAACCTCCTCTGATGCAACTTGAAGCTGTTTCTTCTTGTCCTAGCTCTTGCTCCCCCTGATTTCTAGTTTTTTCTATTTTTTTTCTATTTTTGTTCTATTTTTTTATTCTGAATTACAGGGAGGTCTTTCCATTTATTAAAAAGAAAAAACACCTGGTAGAATCCAGAGGAAAGAAAAATATGGTATTTCCTGGATAATGTTCCTGTAGAGAAGTTGCTTCTCGGTTTCTCCATTAGAAAACCATTTGCCAGGGATCAATTCAAGTGTGGCTGACACACAAAATGAAATATGTATCAATCCAGCAGGAAATGGTAACAGACATTAGTAGACAGCAGAATCACATCAGTTACATGCACTCACCAACAAGAAGGCTTGGGTTGTTGTATTATCTTGGGGAAAACAAGGATCAGCAGGATACACAGGGAGTTGTAGCAGAGGTACCATTACTGCAGGCAATGCAAAGGGTGCAAGAAACACTATCAAAGAGGAAAAAAATTACATCAGGCCATAATTTAAATATTATTCCCATATTTAAATATCATTTAAAAGGACAATTTCTAGTGTTTTAAGGGTTTTAAACTGTAAAAAGCAGTTTAAGATTTAGACAGGGTTTAAAGTGCTTTAGAAGTTTTTTCAAGTACTGCAAAGGCATCAATTTATACCAGTATAAATTCACAATAACTGAGAATTAAGCAATCTTAGGACTGTGGATTAATTTTGAACTCTGTCCTCCAGCGAGATGGGTGACCAAGTTTGTATTCTATGGGATCCCTTCAGCACCACCACAACAGAAATGTGGAACAGTGTTAGCACTCTGAGGAGCTGCTGGGTGCCTCCTCCTGCTCTCACAAGTGAGGTTACAGAAGAGCAGTGACAACACAAACAAGCTGTACTACCAGTGAAAACATGCACTGAGGAGAAAACTCCTTTCAGCTCATGTGTAGGAGTAGGAAAGCATGCTGATGTTATTTTAGCAGAAGAGTCTTCTATTATTTGCCACATGGTAATTCCAAAATATCTGAATGAAGCTAATAGTGTCTGTATGTATTTCTGCACACTGATATATAAATATATACACATATGTAAAATGGATAAGCGATTCTAGATCTTGATTATTAACTGGGACACATGTGGGAGCCATCTGGGCCACCCAATTTCCAGTCTTATTCCTTTCAACACTTGCTGAACCCTAAATTATCACAGCTTTTTAGGCATGCTGGCTGCAATTACTGTGGTGCTGGGACATCGTTCATCCAGTCTCTGTGAGCCCTCTGGCTGCCTCCTCAGGGCACTTTAGTAATGAAGGAACAAAGTAGAGTTTTCTTTTATTGGAATAAAACCTTCCTAATCTACCATGCTGGATAAATCAGGGGGTTTATCATCACCTAGGCAATGTAAATCGACAAGCAGTGGAAAATAATTCAGCAGAGTTGAGTGAACTATCTGTGCCCAGTTTCCTCAAATGTGAGATGACTCAATTGGAGGCAAATTCCACGTACTGCTCTGCACAAAGGTGAGGATTTCTGTTTGTAAACAGCCAGATGAAGTGTTCTTTGGATGGTTTGTGGGCTCCTTGTGGATTGACAGCCTTGATCTCCCCCAGCACCAAAAGTTACGGATAACCCTAATCAAATGACAACCACTGGCACGGTGCAGATGAGAAATTTTCATTTCTATGTATATTATGATACACATACAACTACAAACCTCTGTAGGGATCTTTCTTGCAGGCTCTGCATGCTGCTGTGTTTGGGTTTCACCAGGAGGAGCAGCTCTCAGGGCTCTAAATTGCATCAGTGATGTCCAGCCTTCAGAGTGACTAGGAGCAGTCACTCCAAAGGGCCACCTTGGATAAAAGCTTCCCTCCTAATGCACTGCAATCTTCTCTCCTTCTGTATAGCAGAGAACAAAATGTCATCCCCACCTGTTTCTCTCATTTTTTTATTTTTTTTTTTAATAAGTTACTTTAAAAAATGTCCAACTGTGTAGGTTATCTATTGTCATTTACAGGAGCAGAGATTCGTGCCTCATCCTAGCCATGATTTGTACCAGAGTGTGTCACACAGGTATTTTCTGGTCCTTCTTTCTCCTTAAAATATGTTCTGTCTGTGCTCACTCAAAGCACTTTTTTTTTTAAAAATTAAAGAAATAGTTTCAGAGACTTCACAAGTTGCAGAAACAGGTCGCTTGGAGGATTTTTGTCAGTATTTGCAGGGCAGGTATTAGAGAAAGTTACTTTAAAGTATCCCTTTGAACAGCAGATGGATGGAATGATTCGCTTCCAGCTCACTTCTGCTGGAATTCAGAGAAGCAAATCGATTTTTTTTCCCTCCCTTTTAAATTCTATTTGAGTTTTGAAACGTTGGTAATTATTCAGCCTTTATTTCATGTCACGCACTGCTCACCCTGGACTTGTTTGGGGGTTTTACCGTTGTTTTTAGCAAACAGAAGGTGTCAAACCCAAACTAGGTTTCATAACAAAGCCATTACATAACTGCCCAATTAGCAGCTCGTTCAGTGCTATTAATAGCAGCTCCACATCCAACCCACTTTGTGTAGTGCTACAAAAACTGGCAAGAGGAGGCTTCTCATTAGTTATTCATTCTCAGAGGAGAATAAATGAACTTGGTGGAGATCTATGAGATCAAGAGTAACGTGCTGATTATTAGCTGACAGGCTGCTGCCTCTCCCACTGCTCCCTGCTTTTCCTGACTCCCAGGAGACGTTCATCCCTTCAAGCCTGTGTGGACATCTCGTGTGCATCCCAGACAGAGACACAGCTCCCACCCAGGTGGGCTCAAAGCCAGGAACCCCTTGGAATCTTTTTTTTTTTTGGAACAGTGTCTGTAATTTGGTGTTACCTTTCACTGACTGTTTGGAAGAAAAATTTTTTTACTGGAGTTTTGATCATTTTAAGCCACTTGAGCTGCTGACCACATAATCTGATCCAGAACTTCTTGTAACTTTCTGCACAATACTTTTTTTTACTTTCAAAGATCAGATCTGATTTCTATTTTAAAAGTAGGCTACTTAAAATGTTGCAGCATGTGAGCTGGTTTGATCTTACATTGCTCTGTTCCTGAACTCCACTGTGGAAATAAAGAATTTGTGAAGATATTTTCTGTGGCCTGATGACAACCTTACGTTCTTTACCACAGTGACTTCCTTTTATATTGGATCTCTCATCTGATAAAAACATAGGTCAAATCTCTCTCTATATATATATATCTATACCTGTTTCTAACACAATTTCTGCTCCTGAGGTCCATATCTTCTTCTCCTTGGGTACCTCCAGTGCTCCTGGATTCGACTGGTTAAGGCTTTACCTCTCTGCAGTGCATTGTGCTTCCCATCAGCTGCTGCCTATGGGGATACCAGAGTCTCTTGCACTCCTTTCCCCTAGGCACAAGTTGCTTCAGAATTAAGGACTGACTTATACTGGTACAAAATGAGCTGCATAATTAAAGGGTCTGACTGAGTATTGATTCAGGTTTCTGTTCCTGCATTGCTTCCTTGTTGACACTGTTGTTTTTCAGCCCTCTGTACTTGTCCTACGGCTGTAGGTCCTCCCTGGGGGAAAAGAAATAAGAAAACAAGAGGAGAGAGATTTCCAGGGTCACCTACATGGGTTAGGTAAAGTAGAAAAAGAACAGGCACTTTGTGTCATGGGCTTATTGAACCACACACTGTAAATCCCCAACAGTGGCTTTCCTTTGATTTGTCATTTCATTTTTAACTCCTATCCATGTTCTCACTTTTCTCTCCTACCATGAACTATTCAATCATCAATGTCAAATGTAAAACTGGAATGCAAAAACATGAAGTGTAAACACTTTTTTTTCTGTCCCTACATAATCTCTCTATGCCTTTGTGCATATTGATATAAAAACACACATGTAAAATGGATAAAAGATTATAGATCTTGGTTATTAACTAAGATACATGTGGGAGCCATCTGCATAAGTAAAATCATCAATGTTTTTATTTTCTCTATTAGTATATTGTGATAATATACTATTTTTTTATGTTCATGTATTAATCATCCATTTCAGTGAGATTCAGTATGTATTTTGTCCTTTCTTACACATTTTTATACCTTCAGGATACACAAAGAGCCCCACACTGCCCATCCACAGTGATGGTGCTATTCACAATCCAGGTGGTCTCTCCACTTTTTCCATTTGTGGCTAATTCAACATGAAGCAGGTCTTGGGTTGCTGGTGGGAAAGCAGAGAAAAAATGATTGGACTTAAGATTCCAGCACTTTTTATTTTTTCACACTGAAAGGGAGTGTGCTCTTTAACACTGCAGTGTGTGAGAATGTGCAAGTGTACAAATGGCAAGCTGGAAAACTGGTATTGCCATTAAGGGAATGCTACATTTTGGTTTGAAAAGGAGACCAAGCTTACTTGTGGCACAAAATTGCTTCTCTGCCTTCCTCCAGAACAGAACTAAATGCTGCTTCAGGGCCTGAATTACTGCCCACTGTATTTCTGTGTGCTTGATTTCAGAACTAAGTAGGAAACAGCAATCAAGTTTTCTTTCTGAAAATACTTTCAAAGATATTGCCTTGGTTTTTGACAAATTTTATAGCAAAGCAGGGGAAAAAAAAGTTAAAATCAAAGGAAGATTTTAATAATAGTTTTTCAAAACTCACTAAGACATTCAGAACTGGAACAGGCTGAACATCTCTGAATCCTGTCTCAGCTTCAAAAGGGACATTGCAGGGATTGCATTAAATTAGGCTGCTATTCTCCCACTTTGCTGAAAAAATGAGTGTCCTTTCTGTGTAGAATAACTGGGTAGGATAAGCTTTAAGAATGGCTGGCAAAGGCCTTGGCACAGAAAATGCAGGTTTCCCCTCCAACTCCGTGAACCATTTCACCTTCAGTGTGGATCTGTCGAGCTAAAAGCCTTACAGAAAAATGACTGTGACCTATTTTGTTTCATAGCAAACGTGGCTCTGATGCTCAGATAAAGATTCCTGCATTTCCTGAGTGCTCAAAGCTACTTACATGGCAGAAGATTGCTTGGTAAGTAAGGATTTGTAGGATCCAACAAGGCTAAGAGCATAAGAAACACAGGGCTGTGTCAAACCACCGGCCCCTCCGCTCCCGATCTCTCACAGCAGAAGGAAATTCCAAGCAGGAAGAAATTGTTTGCTGAGAGGGTGAGGAGGCACAGGCTGCCCAGAGAAGCTGTGGCTGCCCCTGGATCCCTGCAAGTGTCCAAGGCCAGGTTGGAGCAGGCTGGTCTGTGAAAGGTGTCCCTGCTCATGGCAAGAGGTGGGAACAAGCTGAGCTGTCCCTCCAGCCCCAATCAGCCCACGATTCCAAGTGATTCCACGTGCACAGAAAGGCCTGGCTCACCCTCCCCAGACGAACTCCTCCCTGTGGGTGCCAGACCCCACTGCTGGGCTCCTCGGTGAAGCTGCAGGAGCTGGGCTGGGCTCAGCCCCACCCTCGCTGCTCCCAGCAGCAGCAGCAGGGCAGCGCCGGGTCCTGCACATCCCAGAGGCATCACAGGAGCTTTCTGGGACTCCTGGCTCTGGCTTTATGTCATCTGTACACAGCACCGATACAGTTCAGACACAATTAAAAAAATATCCAACCATTCAAGCAGCTTTTCATCTGACAAACCTCTAAGTGAAGGATTAATATGCCCTGAGAGATTCAGAGAGATAAAAGCTTTGTGTTTAGTTCAACAGCCCTGCCAAAGGGTTCAGAAAGCTGTTTCCCAAGTGCTAAAATACAGCCCTCATCTGCATTTGTTATTTAGCATCCCTGGAAGTATAAACAACAATAGCTCATGCATAAATTCACCCATCATTGGCAGAAAAGTGAGTCTGTCCATGATGTAAGATTTCTTCTTTACTTCAGGTTGTGGAGAATTCTCAGGATTCTGGTTGTATTGTTTATCTCATCACCTTCCCAGTCTCAGCTGAAAAATAAGAAGACATCTACTTGACCTTGAAAGCTCTGATTTGAGGAAAAGGTATATTCTAAATTATTAAAGCAAAGTGGTTCTATGCAGTTCTCTGCTCTACCTGCAATCAAGGTTTACTCATTTATTTTCTAAAAAAAACCCAACAAAACAACAAAAACCAACAAAAAAATCTAAAAATATTAAAATCATCAAATACCAGTAATGCACTGGGGTTTTACCAATTATGCCCATTTTGGGGAGCTCCTAGAAACATTACAAGTTTCTGGTGTGAAAAAGACATGTGGTTGATACACTTTCTCACAGTGTGTTTTCTTAACAAGCAGAGTATCGGTCCCAAACATTTTTCCTCAGTAGAGCACATTTGCTCTGCCTTTCAGACCCCTTTTTTTTCAAGGTGGATGAATTTGTTTAATAACTGAACTACTGGTAATGGAATTATCTCCCATGTCTCTATAAAAGGAAAGCATATGCTTTTATACAAATTATTTATAAGCAAATGCCACAGTTGAAGTTATGGGCATTATAAATAATGCCTGTCAGTTGAAATCTTTCTCAAGTTGAAAATTTAGGTTACATTAAGCTAAGTGAATGGAATAACAAGGAACCGGGGAGATTCAAGGTAGAAGTACCTCTCCATTTGCATAATGACTGAACAGGAGGCAAACTGCTCAAGAAATGAATGTTTATATCCTGATGCTCCTGAGACATGAGCAGCTGCTCTTCTCAGAGGTATCTGAGGTGCTGGCCCAGCTCAGAGTGCCTGCAGGCAGAGTAATGGGCTGGTGTTTGCAGGGAGACAGGCACCCAAGGAACCTCTGCCTGTGACAGCCCTGACAGCGTTCCAGTGCTGCCAGCAGGCAGTGAGTTGACCCCAAAAAGCTGCTGCTTTAGGGGATCCTGAGCTCAGTCCTGCCTGGCATTAATTGCTGCTTCCCAGCCCAGGCCTTCTGGAGGGGTTACCTGAGAGCTTGGCAATTACCTGGATATCATTAAAACTCAAGAGGTGATTTAGGAAAACAGCAATAGGGAATGAAAGGGCTCCCAAAGGAGATCCTGGATCAGAGAAAATGTCTTTGCTTGCTGTCCCATCTTTAATTAATTTACAAATACATGTGCCTAACTAAGCATTTGCTAGTTTTCTTCTTTTCAGAGAGACTGATAGCAACAGAAAGGGTTGAATCTATGAAATTGCAATGTGAATGACAACATTTGAGGCAACAGAAAATCTCAGCAAGGAATTTATGAGCTACTTGGTTTTCTTTCCCATTTTTTTCACTTGATTCCTTTTCAGGTCAGCCTGCCCATAAGCCTTGTCTTTGTTGTAGGCATACAGGAATTGAACATATAGGACCAGAAGGATGTTTCTGGGCCATAACAGCCACCTCTAATAAGGGCAGCTTCCCCTCTTGCCTTCCTCTGCTAATCAGATTAAAATTGTACTCCAAGCCAATACAACATTATCAGTTAGAAAACTTTGCTTCACAGCCAGTGCACACAAACCCATTTTCAGCTTGGAGCCATTTGTTCAGCTCTAGTGCTATCCTTTAATTTCCATTAAGCTTGTCCCCAAATGCTGTTAATACCATTTCTGTGTTCAGAGTGCAGCTGCATCCTCTCTCAGTCGTTGCTTTCGGGCTCTGATCAGAAGACAGGTTTTTCTTTCCCTTGTCATCCTTGGATGGCTGTTCAGAGCTGCTCAGATTAGGCTGTTCCATCCCCTGGCAGCTTTTCAGCTTGGATTTTCTCTTTTTTAAATATGGTAAAGCCAAATTCTACGCATTAATTAAAATTACATGTCTAAATCTGATTATAATTATTATTTGGGGGACATCTCATCAGCCCTTCTCTATGCCTGCTTAGAATAGAAAAAAAAAAAATGTACTATATCTAGTGTGATAAAATCTGGCACCACAAGTCCCATTTAACCATCATCTGAGTAAGACAAAGTCAAGCCCATCTCTAAATAGTTGTTTCCAAGTGATAAGGAAATTAGGTGCTCAGACACCCAACTAGACACAGCCAAGATTTAACTGGGATTTTATCCAAAAGAGGAAACTCCCTCCTTCTCCATGAGAAGAAAAAGTTTGGGTTGGAACATGAGTTGAGTAAAGTATACCAGATTTTTGATTCATCAATGTTTTTCCTCTTACCTGTGCTCATTTATAAACAATGGTAGAAAGAATATGTTTCTTTGGGAAACACTTGTGTTTCTGTCCTTGTTGTGTTTAAAAACAAATGCATCCTACATAGTGTATTTTGCATTAGTGAACTTGCAGACCACTCCACTGCGTATTGCACACACACACACACACACTGATGTGCATCACACTGATCTGTATCATACTGCTCTATTTCCCATTTCTTAAAAACAGTCTCCAGATTCTCTGTGCAGCTCATAAAAGCCCCAAATCCCACTTTTTCCCTGACTTTAGCAGCGCATAACTGTGTTTCTAGGGGAGTTGTATATGAATTACCATGTCTGATTGTACAGTAATAGATGTCCAGGGATTTCCAACCTTTGCTATCTTCTTGTTACAAAGGAACCTGCCAAACATGAGCTTTTCTTTCAGGAAAAACAATTAGACATGCACAATGAAATCATGGATTCTTGCTATTTGGGAACTTCTCTGAACTTTTGGCAGGGTTGCTCTGGAGACCCATATTATAACCTCTCCTGATGGTTGGCACCCCATAAATATTAGAGTCAAGAGCAATCTCTGCTTATAATTGTCCAAAGGAATAAGTTTCTGGCTCCTTTCATGATGTCACTGGCATTGTGAAAAATAATTGCTGAGGTTAAAATGTCTCTCAGTGACCTGTCTTGCAGTAAAATTGCTGTCAAATTGCTTACTCACAGTCACCACAACTCCCCCAGGGCTGGTCTCTGTGACCTGCCCACTGCCTGATTGCAACTATTAGTCTGGGAGGTTGGATGGCTCAGGGAAAATTAAGATAAATTCTCTGCATTGATCTCAGATTGAGAGGGGAAATGCCACTCCTTCATTTGGAGATGGATCAGTGGAAATAATTTTCAAATACTACTGACTATTCATGAGGTGAAAACAATTGTTAGTTCCTTGCAGCAACATAGTTTTCTTATTTAAAATGAACATCATTGTTCAGAAATAACTCCCACATTACCATCTCATTTCCCTTCTCCAGAAAGGTATTAAATGTGATCAGTGTGCTCACACAGGGAAACAAATAAATGGTAGAAAATTAGTTCATGCACAAACCCAGTTTGCTTCCCTAGCTTGGTGTTAGGATCCTAACAGAAATTCTCCCTGTCCCACAGGAAAGGAGGAAATCCATAAGTGCCCCATTAGCTGTGTAAAAAGTTTTAAGGCATCCTGGAGAGTTCTCCTGTTGTGGTGAGCCAAGGCTGCCCTGGTAAGGAGACCCTTGAACCGACACAGAATGGAGAAGTCAAGAGGAAAGAGAAGGCAAGAATCACTTACCAGGAATCAAGATGACAAGAGAAACATCAAGGAGCTGCTTAGCACAAGGAAACATGTGACTGAAGTCCATTGCAGCAGATAAATAAAAGCATTTGGAATTTTATATTGGTTAGCCTGCATCCATGTGAGCCACCAGCACTTGCATCTGGTAGCGTTTGGGAGGTGGTTTGGTTGCTTTTGTTCTTCATGAATTAAAGGTTAAATCACTGCCTGGAGCCAGAAGCAAATGGGTAAAAGGGAAGTAATATCAGTAAATATAAAAAACTTAGGTAATCATGATGACAACAATCTGGACACTCACTGTCTTGAACAAAGCCCCTACAAACTGAAGCATGAAGAGGAACTGACCCTCAGTTTCTTCAACAGGAACATCCTTGAGCACAAAGTGGAGGAACAAGGAACTAACTGTAGTTTGATGGCAGCCTCAGGATTTCTACAAAAAGGATTTTCTACAGGAGAGTCCCCAAACACAAGAAGCCATTTCCAGCACTAAATAACAGTATATTTTAGTTGGTGTTTAAGAGACAGTTCCACAAGCCAAAACCAATTTTAAGGAACATGAGGTGTGAGAGAAAATAGAATTACACTGCAGGAAGTGACAATTGAGAACTTAATAAAAACACTTTGAGTAGATGCCCCCAAAACCACAAGCTCAGGCTAAAAAAAGAGAACTGCAGGTTAAAAAGCAGCCTGGCTTTGAAGGAAATGAAAGCCACAGTAGAGCGAGATAAATATTGCTGTTTTCATTTCCTTGCTCTGTTCAACAGCATTCCCTTCATTCCCAGGCATGGGCTAAGAGAAGAAGGAAAAGGGGATAGCAGTGACTGTAAGTGAAAACTTGTACTTTAGAGAAAGGGAAGCAAAAGGCATGAAAAGATTCGTTTGGCAAGCAGAGCTGAAACACTGAGAGGTTTTCAAATGTACCTTTGGTCCCCATGCTGTCCATGGCAGCTTTGGAGCAGTTTGGGAAGCAGGACCAGGAGCATCTCTCACACCACCCCAAAAGCACTTGGTTTCAGGAGTTTTGTGTTTAGCAAGACGTGAAGTTGTAAAATGCCATGGGCAGGTTGTACATCAAAAAGCAAAGGACAGCTGCCTTCTGCTGAAAAGTAAAAATGAAAATGACATTTGGAATACAGAAAAGTATAGACAATTTCACTAAATGCAGCTGTTGGGGAAAAAGGCCCAGGGCCTGTTTTGAGCTTATTAATGCCAGTGATGGGTTTGAGAGTCTGACAATTGGGTAAAGATGCTTATTTTCTGGGTAAAATATTACAGTGATGCCACAGGGTGACCTTCAAATATGTTCTTTCCAGAAAGAGCTGTACAGGACTTTCTGGTCTGCCTGTCTCAAGGACAAGTTTAGCGAGAACACACGGCACACAGGGCTTGGCCCAAGCTCCTTCCTTTTGCCCAAGTCAATTACACATAAATTAAGTTGTGCTCCTGTGTTTTCCTCATCTTGTCTCACAGCCTTTCTTCAAAAAGGCATTTAAAATAAGCATTTCCTTCCTCCATCACTTGCTAATGTTGTCAGCCCAAGGTGAGAGTGGGTTCAGACAAAGAAAGCAGGAGCAGGATCCCAAGGCTGCCCATTCCTTTGGAACCCGATGCTTCATTTCAGCAACTCCTCTGGGTCCCACTCTTTCAAAGCTTTACAATTCTTGCCAGCTCAGAGGCTCTGGTTTCAACCTTTTCTTTACGGTAACTGCTGGCTGTACCAAGCCAAGAGAACATATTTTTCAGCACAGATAAATCCCTTTCGCTCACATCTGAGAATAAGACGAACACATGAGCGTTCACTACATCTTACTGTGAGCATGGAGAGAAACAAGGCAGCCAAGGCAATAAATTCCATGAGAAAGGCTTCTCCCAGGTGACCAGCAGGAAGTAAATGAACAAAGGTACATATGTTAGGCGAGGTGGAGTCCACAGCAAGACACATGTAGAAGGGAGGGAGAGAATAAATCTTTCCCTTATTCTCAGTGGAACTGTATTAATCTTGCCTCAATTAGGCTTTTCTTACCTATTCCTTTTCTCCAATGGGCAAGCAAATAAAATTCATAGGAAGGATGGAAAGAGGAGAGGCACAGCTGAGGCAGAATGTTCTCTCTGGATGTCTGGAGAAGAGCCACCTTCCATTTTCACTCCTGTGGGGTACAGAGTGTATCTCATGTACAGTAACAGAAAGACACAGTCACCTCTTATGACCAGGCTGCCTGCTGCACTCCTACACACACAGAGAAGTTCCTGTGCCTTAGGTGTGTGGGAAGTGGGGATTTGGAGGGGACCTTCACAGCGTAACCTTCAGATGTGACAGAGCACGTTAAACATCTCCTATGAGCAAGTGACACAGCATGCAGAAACAGACACAGGAATTATTCACAGCTTTCTTACCCAAAGGCTTTTCACATTTGTTGAAAGCACAATCTGCTGCAGTCAGTGAGATCTACCTCCTCTATTTCTGCCCCAAAAAAGAGTACTTATCTTGTCATCTGCCTATCCATCACCTTCTGATGTACCACAGCACCACGGATCCCTACTAACAGCACTGGATCAACACAACATTCCCACCAGGCAGGACCCAGCTAGCACTTCCCCATCATCACACATCCCCAGGGGAAGCCTACCAGCAAACTGTCCCCAGTCCCGACCCCATTCCAGCTATACCCATACCTTCTGCCTTGCTTTGCCATTCCCACAGCCCTTCCTCATCAGAACTCTGCTGTGCTCCCAGACTTCTCTTCCTTTCTCACTGCCCTCCCGCTGCATGGCAAAACCCCTTCCCGGGCACATCCCCTGGGACCCAGCACTCTGCACTTCTCCAGCTTTGACTCAGGAATAAGTCTCTTATTTCTGAGCTCTTCTCCTGCTCCATGTGTTCCCAGTGCCCAGCACACCAGGGAGCTCTTGGGTGACCTTCCCGTGGTCCTTTCCCCGTCCTTTGCTTATATAATGTGTATGACTCATTAATATGAAGTCGCCCGTAACACGGAACATCTGGGTCTGTTTTTGGTTTTCTCCTTCCTCTGTGAAGTTGTCAAGTCAGCTTCGGGATATATTGTCTAAACTTGATCCTTACAAAGTTGATGTAATTAGGATGGGAAATCCTTTCCAATTTCATCTTTTGGGGGATAATCCCATGTTGCTGTATGCTATTTCCTCATTGGATGTTTGTGTTAGGAAAACCCTTTTCTTCCTAGTTGTGTTTTCCTTGTAGTTTTGGAACAGATAATCCTTGGGTCATTAACACTTTCTGTGGTCCTGTTGAGCTCCTCTTACCTTGTATTCCCCTCTGTATACCATCTGTCTGGTATTTCAGTGCTTGGATGAGCCTCTGTTTCTTGGGGGATGTGGCCCTTTGCACACAGGGCATTCTCTGTTTTGCCTTTAAAAATGTACCAGATTTGTAAATCTGAGGGTAATGATTTATAGCCCAACTGCTCCTAATTCTCTCATTACTAGTCAAACAAGGACTTCTTCCAAATGTCAGATAACAGATGGTGAAGAGAAATTTTATTTCCAGTTCTTCCTAGACTAACATCTGACGTAGCGTGGAAAAAGGAACAAGAGGGCAGAGCTGGACACAGATTCTAAACATATTTGGGTTTAATCAGCATTTAAAACCCTCTCCTATTTTGGTCAAAATTTCTTACTTTCAAATATGGCTCAAAATTGATTTTAAAAACTATTTACTACTTTATAAAGTTCATTTGTTTTTAAGATGCAGCGATGTCACAACACAATCTCGAAGTTTTAGTAACAATAAAAAACCCAAACAAGTTACATTGTAACAAATCTATTTATGTTTTCCTTAGCAACAAATTACTGTTACTACAATTGTAGCAAAGTGGAGAGAAACAGCAGAAAAATGTCTGTGGGATACTCTTCATAACCCAGGACTTGATGTTAAGACTAGAAACCTTAATATTAAACACTGAATTATGTAAAAGGCAACTAGTACTTACATCACTTTTATACTATATATATATATATATCTATATCACTAGTACTTATATCACTTTTATACCATACTTTTATACTAAAGGACACTATTTCTGTCTGTTTTAGATTATTGCAGGGCTGGTGATTCTTATCCATTGTGAAATCTTTATAACCAACTTCACAATTTCCAGTCTCTAACAAGATCTCTTTTGATTTTCTTAGGAATTTTATTTCAATATATATATATATAGTTAGTTAGTTTGTTATTGGCCATTTGTTAATTTTCTTGACCTTGAAACTAGCTATATATTTTAAGGGGAATTAATTAATTATGATAATACCCATAACAACCTGATAATATTGTGTGAGGTACTTAATGTACATATATATATGTTAAAAAAATTGTATGTAGACAAAAAGGAGAAGAAAATTCTAAAGAAAGTCCTATTTAAGAAATGCACTTTACTGCCATGTTAGGAGCCACAAGATCCCAAGAGTACCTGAAATTCCCTGGACAGCTGTGAACCATGATGGGCTCCATTATTCATTTGCCTTTTCCGATGCATTTGGTGAGTTGTTGTGTTTAAGGAATGAGGAAAATGTTTGATTTACTCTTAGAGTTAGTGCTGGAGATTTTAGTGTGTGTGTTCTTATTTTTACAGCAAAACTCTCTTGTGACTTTGAGGCACCCACCTTTTGCCTGTTTCCAACGCATATCCCTCAGGGGGAAAGAAAATGTTCTGTCTCATTTTTGGCAAACCATGGCAATATCTCCTTCCCATTAATGTCAATGCCAATCCCTCCTTTGCAGCCTGGATGGGAAAGATTTAAAATTTGTTAAAGTAATTTAAACAACAGCAGTGATTTTTCATCTTTGTCAGCTGCCTCAGCCCAAGAGTCTTCCTTAAATGAATGTCTTCCTCAAAACCTCAGCCAGCACCATTCCCCACCCCAGCAAAACTTAATGACTTCACAGAGGAACCCAAACACAAGGAGTAGTTGCACTTGTAGTTTACTCATCCTTGCTTGGCCTCAGCCTCCTGCAGGAACAGCAGAGCTCTTTAAAATCTGTGTGTTCTGTGGGTGGTGATCAGGGCATCTCCCTGACACAGATGGAGCCCTGAACAACCATTTTATGTGATCACCTTCTACAGAGATCTGTGACCAGAAAGAGAATGATCTCCTCTTCAACTGAAGGCAAGCAAAAATAGCAGGGTTGAATAAAGTAAGTGGAAGTGCTGTGAAATCCATGGCCTGAATGATCTGTGCACTGTTCTTGGTGACAAAGGGGAGTTCAGTTTCTAGCATTTGGCACATCACTGTGGAAGAGTCGTGGTGTTATGTGTTTTGTCAATGATTATGGGCTCAGGCAGAAATCAGTGGGTATATAAAGAGATATGAATTGGTGTTGGTTTGGTTTGTTGGGGCTTTTTTTTTGCAGAAAACCCGGGTTTTGGAGCTGGTCTTGTGCTGGGTGAGAACCTGACCCATGATTTCTGTGTTTGTTACCATCACAATGCTGCTGCAAATGCTGCTCACAGCACCCTGAGTGGTGAGACAACAAAAATCGTGGAATCACTGGGGCTGGAAAAGACCTTCTTGACCATTGAGTCCAGCTTTGACCAAACACGACCATGGCCAAGAACTCACTGTGCATCAATGGAATATTCTGAAGGCTGAAAATTTACCATGGAAATCTGACTTGAGGAAAACAGATGAACATGTTTTCTGCTCATTCTGGCGATACAGATAAATATAAAACTCAGGGGGAAAAAAAGTTTGTTCTTTAAGGTTGCATGCACTGCTAATAAATAAAAAATTAGATCAGATTATAAATACCAGATCCTCACACAATGAAATTCTCTTTCTCTCCGTTGATTTAAGCAAGTATTAAATTGATTTAAAGGCAGCTGTGTCAACTTCTATTGCCAAGGGGTTTGGTTCTGAATAGCTAAGAACTGCATTTCTTTAAGTCTTTTGTAGTTATCACTCCCATGGTGCACAGAGAGGCTGATCATGTCTCAGCAAAGTGGTGTTTGCCAGACAAGTGAACAAAATCCAGATCCCTCACCACGTGACCCTGGTTTAGATCATTCCATGTGGGGACACATATGGATAGGGAAGTACATTTTTTCATATATAAATTGAAAGTATTAAAATAAACATGTATTTTATATGTACATTGAAATAAAATAATATTGATTTTACATAGACAACTTCTCAAATTATATATATAATATATTAAAATGAAAATTACCAATTCCTTCTGGCTTGATCCCCTGCCTTGTCTTTGCTCCCTCATATGTGTTCAGTCATCCCTCAAGCTGGCTTGCCCCTGAAAGACCAAGTAACCAGAGAGAAACTTCTCTAAATCTCAAATTACAATAATCCAGGATTTAAGAAGCAAAATGGTACCATTACTGCAGATTGTAACTCTGGAGAAATAGGTCAGAGCTGCAGTTCATCTCACCACTGCTACCAACAAATGAGGTCACCATTTGCTTTCTTTTACTGTGTTGTTGCTTTAAAAGAAAAGAGCTTATTTTTCTGTATTGATAAAGGTAATGAATTCCCAGGCAGCAACACGAGAAGAGATAAGAGCAGGAATTAAATCTCTGTCTTATGTGGCCTTGGGTATCCAGTCCCACACAACACAGGCACAGGCTCTTTTTAAGATTTCTTTTGCAATCACAAACACTGTTCCCATTCGGGTGCACACAATGTGCATGCAAACCTAACAGCATTTTCCAAATAGCCTCAGTGGAAAGGATGAACAGGTAGGCTCTTCTCCCTCCTGGAACGTGCATGCTCTGGGTACTTCTCTGAGAGAAGCTGTCTCTGCAGAACAACTAAAGGCAATGAAAATAAGAATGCCAGCATTTTCTGTAATTGCTTTTTGTGGAATGTAGTCATTCAAGGAAGAATTTGTGCAGTTGGTAAAGGCAGCGTGATTACAAAAAAAAATAAAAAATACAGCCTCCCTATAAATTCTCTGTGATCCCTGAGGAAACCTCAGGAAAAAGGCCATTGCAATGCAGATTTGCATGGTTCCCTGAAGGATACTGCACTTCCACAAATCCTCCCTTGAAGAGATGAAGCTTGCCAACAGTTTGTTCTCAAATACAATTAATTTTGATGCCCCCTGCATGATTACAAGTCTAATGTTTAGTTTTGCTATCAATTACCACAAGAGACTCTTCCCAGGTCACTACTCTGTGAGCTCCTATGGCTTCATTTACATTGAGCCATCTCCATCCTCTCTATAAATTACAGATTTGGAGCACAATGGTCTCTCTGAACCGGCTGAAGTGTAAAGGAACAGTAATAATAATAAATAAATAGTAAGTTAATGCTTTTGCTGTCAAGCATTAGAAGCATGGAAGAAATTAATGACACCTCTCCTGCTCTACATCCTGACAAACAAGTTCAATTTTGGTTCAAATAATAGATGCTGATGTGAATGAAAAGACTTGGGTGCAGGTGACCCACCGGTACAGCCTTGTGTGCAACCGTTTACTAATTAATGCACCTTCTTAATGGCAAGTATTTGTATAGGTGTTGGTATTTAGGTAATTGCTCACCATTTGTAAAAATCCAATCAGCTTGTGCTAGGAGAGAGATGTTAGTTCTTTTCTCATTAAGAAAGGTCACCGTATCAGGAACCCTCAAAGTTTGAAGTCAAGGTTTTTTTGAAGTTTTCTGCTTCGCTATTCACCTGAATATATACATCATCTATGAAATATTTACAGAGGAAACCACTTAGAACAATGAAATATAAATGAGTCCAATGCATTTCTCTGCCAGGTTTTACCCAGAGCGGTATTTGGGGGCTTATGCAGGGATAGGATTGCCTAATGAAGCCGGCCAAGTGGAATCAATATGAGAGTAATTAATTTAACTCCGTCTTTTTATTTTTCAAAGTGACAGATTTATGATGGTGCATGAAAGAAACATGAAGCATTACCATTTTCCCTCTACTGGAGGCAGACTGGGCAGATGAAGATGACTGGTGTTCCTTATGTGCCACAGGGCTGGAGAGGAAAGCTCTGAGCTGAAGGCAAAGGGAATGAGGAGGAGCTGGGAATAGCAGGCTTGGTTATCTGATACCTGCAACCATTCTGGGGGAACCACCACCAAAGGACAGCTGTCACTCGGAATAACCACGGCATTTGGGGCACTTCCCCGAAACAGGCAGTGAGATTAGACCATACAATTACAGAACAAACACACATTGTATCTGCTGGAGCTCTTTACAGCCATCTTTATTTGATCTACTTATGACCCATCTCAATTGCTGCACTTGGAAAGAATAATTATTGTCCCAAAAGCTACAGTTTTGTTTTCTCTTTTATTATTTTCCCCCAGATATCCTGCTCTTCCTTCTCTCCTTTCTTTTTTAATGTAAAAGGACTCTAACAGCCCTACCAGCTGCAGAAATGGAGAAACCAAAGGAATAAAAGCATTTATATTCATTCTCTCTCTTTGCATTATTCTTGACTATAAATATTTTTGAATGTTGTCTCTGTGGCTACATGCAGAAGTTGCCTTTAGCAGCTTAGTCACCAACACAGTGAAAACCAGTAAGCCTAAGAACCCCTGGCACTTCACATCAACTCAAAAGCTGTTCCACTGACACTTGATAGATCACTGCAGTAGCAATATTTGGAACACTACACGAATTAAACAAGGGCTTGATTCCCATTCTATGGATAAGATGTGCAATTACTTTGCTAAAAGAGTGCAAAGATAGCAAACTGAGTGTATGTGTGTTACACTTTCCTTTTTTAGTATTAATTTCCCCTCTCCTTGATCAAACTAGTGGAAGTATTAAAGCTCTTGACCAACAATGGTAGTTTCAATTTAGACCACTTCAGTTTGGTAAGCACTTTCAATTTTAAGTACATGCTCCAGCAATTCCAGCAATACAAAATACTTTCCTTTACAGCTGCCCAGAATAATACAGGATTTGAGCTCTCTTAACTCTTACTCTCCAAACTCCAAGGGGAAAATATTAGTGCATGCTGGGAGTCCTTACAGCAATTTCTGCCAAGCGATGAAAAAACCCTGTCGTTTTACTGGTGTGTGCTGATTGTTTCTGAGCAATAAAGGAGATTTTGGAGGGTTTTGTAGGTGAGTGTGCACCTGTGCAGCCTGTGTGTGGTGACTGTGTCACCCTGCACCAGGTTGTACCTGCTCCAAGGCCTGCAGATCTCGTTGGAAGCTCTGTTTATTCCATAGGCTGTCTGTGTTTGCAGTAGGTAAAATGGCTTTCCAAGCCAGTAGGAAGAGCCTGCTCCTGGGGAGTGCCAAGGTACTGCTGGAGGGAAGAAGAATGGAATCTTTCAAAGATGTAAAACTGCATTTTGAACACATGTAGACACTGAACTGCAATCCTGTAACGTTTTAGTAAAGCAGAATCAGAGTTTACAACGCACTGAGTGCTTCTACACCTCACTTACCTGGGAATTTCTTAGGGTTTCAATGGGACAGGCCAACTTTTTCCAAGCATTTCTCCTACTGAGAATGAGCAACCGTTGAAAAACATTGCCACTCCCAACTAACAACTCCCACACCTTCCCAGGAAAAACACACTCGATTATATGCACTGTATGAAAACAGTATTTGAACACACCATATGTGGAGGAGGAGAATGTGGGGTGACTTTCTCCTGCTCCAACTCATTCCCTTGGCTACTGCACTCCACACCACCAAAACCTGAGGAGCTGCTCAGGGCTTTTGCTACATTTAAGTGCTGCTTTCACGTTGCACCTGGATTCTCCTTGCTCTCACACTGCCAAGCCTCTGGTTTAGCCCTGGAGTGGGAAGTCAAGCCAGCAACCAGCATCACTGACAGGAGATACAGAGTGCCCACGCCAGGTATTCATCTCACCTGCACTCTCCTATCAGTTTCCAAGTCACAGCAAAATAAATGGTACAGAACAAACCTTTCCTGGAGTTACAAGGGGACTGCCAGGCAGTAATTCACCTGTGTGTGATTTTGTACAATCACCACGTACACAAATCAAATGTGACACTTACATCAATGCAAAGTGACCATAATTGGACTCAAGCAGTCTCTTAAAACAAAAGTAAATTATCTAGATATATGTAAATAAGTCCTGAGGGTACCCTTCACACAGCTCTGCTCCCATTGCTTGATTTATAGTTTTCAGTCCTTACACTGCTACTTTCCATTTTCTGCATGGATTATTTATTTTACATCCAAAATAAAAAAAAAAAAAGGCAATGGAAAAAGAATAAAAGTAATACCTTAGTAAAAGATGAAACCATATGTTCCTTCTTTGTGATGTTAAATCCACTCAGGGAGCAAAAAAGGTTATTTGTTCTCTTTTATCTTGAATATGTTGAGTAAATGATACCTGTGTCTAATCAGTTAAGTGATTTTCATACTCCACTGATACTTGACAAGGAACTTGACTGAAGTCTCTGAAAAACATGCAGCTGTGTAAAAAGCCTTAGCAGGAGGGTAGGATGTGTGAGAAATAAGTGAATAAATAAGAGCTGAGTTGTGATTCCCGCATGAGAAGCAAGCCCTCTGCAGCCAGGGTGTGCTGCCAAAGCAGGTGGATTAAGAGACCAGCAGGGACTTTTTTTAAGTTTAGCAACTTGACCAATCTGGCATAATTCAGAGATTTCAAATTTACTGAATAACAGCCTGTAAGGAAAGCTGCTATTTACCACAAAAGCTGGCTCTTGGTGAGTGTGTTGGTGTGCATTAGGGTACAAGAAATAATTTTCTCTGAATGACATTTTTACAGGACTTTCTTTTACCATGTGCTAACTTTACTTAATACACACATAGTACGTGTGTGAGCTGTTTTTTGGAAGATAACATAATAACTAGAAAAAAATGGATACTCCCTCTTCCCAGTGTTTTCCCCAGAGCTCTCTGTAGCTTGTTCTGTATTATTTCCTGAGCAGTGAATACTATTGCCTAGCTATCTCCTAACTGTAATCTGCTTTTACTTTAGTCATTCTGGAAGACTTGGGAGCTGGGTTTAATTGTTTCTACACCCAATTCAGCTGGTAACTCATAACATGCAGATCAGCTAAATGACAAAAAGAAAAGGTCAGGACAATCAGGAAGATTTTTAAAGAGGATTATTTAGTGCAATCAAGTATTTGTTAATACTCTGCCCTTCTACATGATTACTATTTTCTGTTTTAAAGTCATTTATTGCAAGAAAATGGTATCTCCTATTCCTTAAATGCCCTAAGAATATTAAAGTATCTTAAATATGAAATACCTTAGGATATTAAATATAGAATACCCAAGGGTATTTTTTTAGGTTTAATATACTTGGGAAAGTTGTGTCAGAAACGTATTAGTTGACTTTTATTCCAGTTTTATTCCATTCTGAAATTTTACTTAGCAATTAATCTGCCTCAAGAAATTTGCATTATTCCAATAATATAATACATAATATATAATAATATATAAAAGAAAATAGTAAGTCAGAGTTCTGTATAAAGTTACTGACAGAAGGACTGACAAAGTCTTTCCTGCCACGCCTCAGTGTTCACATGTACCCACAAACACACTGCTATAGAGCTATTTTTTTAAACTGTACAAGACCTCTCAGATGGTTTCACTAAACTAACACCAGTGGGTTAAAAAGCAAGTTCAGGGTTATGTGGTTACTGCAGTTGCCAGAATTAGGAAAAAAAATCTTATATTTCCAGTAGAGAAATAAGAAAATTCAGTGAGACCAATAAATAAATAAATAAATAAATAAATAACACCTGTACTGCCTAAAAGCAAAATAATTCTGAAAGTAACGGGCTGAAAAAGTGCTGGTTGTATTGCAGACTTGAAGGCAAATTGAGATCAAAGCCCAAGAGCAGAGCAGTGATGGCAGCACAGGTGTCAGTGGACACCCCTGGCTGCATTGCCTGGGTTACCTTCCCTTTAGGGGAACGCTGAGGAGCCCCAAAGCTGCAGCACGGTTGATCCAAGCTGAGGGTCTGCATCATCCAGGGCACACACAGGGTGAAGTCAGCAATGCACTTCTGGATTGCTCTTACTCCCTGGACATTTTGGGGCTGTTGCAATCAAGGCCTCTCTATTTTCACAGCAAGGTCACCATGGCTTGGCCTGTTCAGGCCTGTTCACGGCTCCTCTGTGGTGTCTTCTCCTGAGGGATCATCTCCTGGCCAAAGCAGGGTGCTGAGGACCCCTTCCATCTCAAGGACATTTCAGATTAAGTGATATTCAAGAACTTGCACCAGCAACAGAAAATGTGTTTCATGCACAGATGAGGTATGAAATATACTGGTGCAGCATTGCTGAGCAGCTCAAGGGTCTGCCTGCAAGTGTTTTCACAGGACCACAGAACAGTTTGGGTTGGAAGGGACCTTACAGACCATCCAAGCCACCCCCTGCCATGGGCAGGGACACCTTCCACTGGGCCAGGTTGCTCCAATCCCCATCCAGCCTTGGCCTTGGACATTTCCAGGGACGTGTCCTGGGTAGCTGTGGCTCTGCGGAAAGGAAAGCCAGTGTTTGGATTTGCTCTGAATGTCCCTGCAGCTGTGAAACGTGGATGGCAGTGCTGCTGGAACCAACTCTCTTGCGAGGTTTCCTGTACTCTCTCCTAGCAGGACTGCCAAGAATATTCCTCAGACAGTTTTTCTGCAGTGACTTGGAATTTCACACTCTAGATGAAAGCAATTCAAAAGCAAATTGAGAAGCAGAGTTTAAAAGAAATAAGAGTATTTCAGGTTGGTTGTGTTGGATTAAAGAAATGAGCAGACTTAAAGGGAAAGATTCCTTCTTTTGGAATCCAGAATGCATCTTACAGATCCAGAATGTCTCTGGATCCCTGCCTACAGCTGGAAACAACTGACGTGGTACAGCAGCTCAGCTGGCTTATCCATGTTTTGGAAAAGCACTGTCCTCTCTTAGCCTGGGGAAATGAAGATGTGTAAGGATATTATCCTCTATAAGAACTCCACATCTGACACTGTATCTTGTTTTCCCCACAAAACTCCAGGCAGGAGAAAGCTCAGCTCCCCACAACCTGCGGGAAAGGTCACTGGTCTCTGGAGAAACTCCCAAAGCAGCCTCCAGTCCGTGTGTGTGCGATGCCTCACGTGAGAACTATTTCCATCTCCAGCTTCCCTGAGGACATCTGTTTCACTTCTGACTATTTTTTGTACAAACCACCTCTTCGTCAGCAGCTGAAAAACAAGGAGACGTGCTGGAGTCGGCTCTGGAACTGCTCCCGAGCGCTCGCGTGTGCCTCATGCCAAGGAGTTCCAGTGCTTGGGTTTCATGTGGAATATTGTCTGTGGTGTCACCACGGACACAGCTTCCAAGTCCTGCAGATTTAATGAGCCCGAGCACACTTCTCGCATCCCCAGGCACAGCAGCTGGAACCTGAAACAAATATTCCAAGCCTCATTTCCCAAGGCTGGTATGTAGAGAGGGCCTAACACGAGCCATCAACACCCAGAGGTCACTATTTAAGAAGATTTATGGATGGAAAAGCAGAGGTGCCCAAAATCCAGGGTCAGGAGGCTTAATACAACTATTTGTGTTTCTAAGAGAGTAACTTAGTGCTAATGTTGTAGTGTAACAGTTAAAAGTGTCTTGGATTATCTTTTGTTGCCCAAATATCTGCTTTTGTACTACATATACACGGACAGCGATTGAGAATAAATTAAAGTCACCTGCCCCTATAAAAATCCACACAAATGCTTCTATTGTTTGGAGTTCTTGATGCAAAACTGGATGAAGAATCAACATCTTTCCTGCTTTACAAACCAATTCTATCTGTGGTTTTTTCCCAGAGGCTGAGTGTGTAAAGCCAAAGCCTTCATTTGAGGGGAACTCTGCCATTATCTTCCATCTCCTGCTTCTCTATTATCCTACATTTCACAGCCCAGAACTTACAGGTCCAGCTGAACAATCCTTGGAGCTTCTTCCCTTATTCCAAAGGCTGATCACTATTCTTCCAGAGGTGCAGAGAGCTGGTGCCAGATACAATCCCACCTTTTGCCTCCTGCTTCTCAGATGCCTGCTCTTCACAGGAGCTGCTGGTAAACTTCTCCATGAGGAACGCTGGAGGGAGAAGTCACAGACACAGTATTCGTGGAGAATATGAAAAGAAATATTGTATTTTTCAGGGAACAGCACAGCTTGAGCAGGAATGAGAACAAATCAGAGTGAATCATTTTCACTCACTGAACTTAGTACAGAAATGGGAGGAAAGGGGTGAGTGTGAAGATACTTCCCTGTCTCATTCTATAAAGTAATAGCAAAACCTTCTCAGGACTTCTTTAAAAGCTGTACAA